ATGCTATGAGAGACTATATGACTATGTGACTGCATGGAGTAAGCGTAAGAGTAAGAGAGAGAAATCAAACGGAAGAGAGGTTTAAAATAAATTATTGAATAAAGTAATGAGTTTCACATCGATCATCTACTAAGCCCTCTTTTCAAATTGATTTGATGGAGAGGCCTGTGTAGATCTTTTTGGGAAACGAAGCTGGAAGGCTGGAAGGCTGGGAGACTGGGAGACTGGGATATACTTTTGCAGATATCGAAGTGCCAAGGGAGTTTAACAACTTTGTACGGAGTATAAAAGTATAATTTCTATGAGTTATTGTTGGGAGTAAAATCGAATAAAAAGGGTCATCTAATGAGATTTGTGTATTGACTGACTTTATTTATAATACCGAGTACAACGTTATGACCATCTACTCCGTATAATGTAATGTAACATACCTAGAAACTAACTGTACTGTGGATTTTTGGTTTATCAATTTTTTTTGGCGAGGAAGCGATATTTTCCAAGATGAGCAATGGCTCATTTTTTCCTCTCTTGACGACAGACCAGGTACATGGATTTAATCTTTTTCCTCCTAAGATACGAAAAGTGTACCAGAAAAAAATATATCGATTTGGTGAGATGTGTTTGGGCAAAATTACTAGGTAATTTTGCGCCCGAGACCCTGGTGATAAGGTTTCAGGGAAAATGGCTGCTGCAATATCTAGATTCTAGATACCGGTAGCTGTTAACAGAATAGTTTCTGTGAAGAGCCCGAAAAACCCCTAGGCATGCATACATACATACACACATACATACATACACATACTGGTTCTTGATTTTGTTGTATACTCCGTACTGTACATCCATCCATCCATCTATTCATCCATTCATCCATCGTCGCTAGCACTTTATACTTAGGAAGCAAGAAGCGACTCGATAGAGCACTACCTAGTACTTACTGTATTTGCTGTATTTGCCGTCTAAAAGTACCCTAGAAATACCCAAATGGGAAAATAAATTCACGCTCTGAACATTCGATACCTCTCAAATGTTTCCTGAGTGATTTGGTTTCAAATAATAAAAATAAAAGGACGTGCCACCACTTTTAACGTGTGGGAGGTTTCTCAATCGTTCCTCCAAAATTCGACTTTTTGGCTTTTGTACAGCAAAAACTTGGCACAAGCGTCTCGAGATTACATACCTCGGAAAGAACCAGTCAGCGCCCATAAAGATGTCGTACCGAAATATTGTGGAATTTACTACTTTAGTAAACTCGTGGCATCAGGGATCTATCGTAATTTTGCAAAGCTATCTATTCTAGCTTCACGAGTACTAGCTAGCATACGTTCGTAGTCACTGCGTACATTGCGTTGCTCTCCAAATTCCTACTCGGTACTCTTGTTGACTCCTGTCCGACTTGACCGTCTCTTCTATCCTAGCCTCTCCCTCACATTTCATGTCCCTTTCCATGCTTGGACAATTGTCGCGGACTGCGCTTCTGGATTGGATGAGCTACACACATACGACTTCGGTGTATTGACATGTCTGAAGTTCGGGGAATCAAAAGGAAAAAAACTTGATTATCCAATCAATTCGGTGATCTCGGAGAATACTTTCTTTTTTTCAGCCTTCCATTCCTTCCTTCCATCCGATTTGAACCCTGGTGAAACCACGACGCTGGGAAGGCGGCATATATCTGATTATATATTTCCAACTATCCGGATTCCCCTGTATCTTTTATTTCGGCCTTTTCCTTTCAATGCAACGCTGCCTCTGGACCCCAACAGCTTATTCTTTCAGACCCTGTACATTAATAACACTCACACTACCTGGATATCGGGCTGGACTTTCCTTTTCCATCACAACCTCACTATCGTTGATTCCGAAAATGCTACAGCTGCCCTTGAAGTATCCATCTAGGTAGAAACACCATCGCTTTTTGCTAGGCTTCAACCCATCTCACTACCCTTCACGTCTAATAATCCCATTTCATGTCTCGAAACCCTGTCAACCCCTTCTCCGTTCCTAAACTTTCCAACATTTGACTCGGCACCTGGGCTAGTTCCATACCCATTCGATCAATCCCTCGGCATGCTTTCGATTATTTTAATGATCCACGAGCATCTATCACAATTCGCATCCTAAGCATTGCCTTGTCGCCTCATCCGGCGATCTCAGGTCCTAGCGTTGCGCCTGATCGACCAAACCCCCCGGTATTTGAAGCTCAAAAGATTGCCCATATTCAATGTCCCATCTAGACTACTAACCTACCGTATCTGTTGCCTTGAAGAATGAAAAGGAAATTGATATTACTGATATTATTGATGTGTATTATGATTTGGAGTGGATCTGGATTAGAGAGAGAGAGAGAGAACGACCTGAGCCTTTTTTGATCAACTGCATATCAGATTATATGACCACAACTTACATATTGGCAGCTAATTCCCCTGCCGGAAAATAGATTCCCTCCCCACACTTTTATTATTATTTGCATCGCCATCTTGTTCCCTACTCTCATCCACCTGGTTGAATCGAGTCTGCTACATAGATTACTTGGACCGTGATCACAAATTTCTCCACCACATCGTTCTATCTCTCAAAATTCGACCCTCTATAAAACGATTGACGGGATCCATCATCTCATTGGTCTTAACGAGTAATTGCGCTTGTTCTAGTTCCAGGTCTCCGCTTTCCAGCCAGCCACCGAGTACGTTTAGTTAAATTCAGAGCTACAACATACAGACTGAACAAGTTTTTTTTCTTCTTTATCTCCGGACACCTCGAATACTAGCTCGTCTTGACCGGACAGTAGTCAACTTTGCAGCTGTTTCTATCTGGTACCGCCAACCCACCGTACCTGGCAGTAGACAGACTTCACAAAGTGGCTGGTGCGAGGCAACATCTCGGAGCATTCTAGGCCAATTGATTGGTTACCGACACTCCCAATAATTCTCGACATACTTGAATCAGTCAAGTCAAGCCCGCATCATCAGGATAAAAGCACGGGGCTCCAAAATTTGGAATCACTTTAAAGATCGCAAAGTCATACCAAAGTGTTAGACTTGTTAGTATAACCGTCTTTTCGTATTCATCTAATCATCATCTGTCCATCCAACTAGGTCATCCGCTCCCGTGGAATGGATGAGAACGAACCGGAATGAGTGAGCAAATACGAAAATGGAGAGTTGTAGCTGTTGAAAGAGGGCGGATGAACCAAAAGCTTACTGTACTGTATCTGTAGTATCATCACCCACCTTACTCGGCACTGTTCGTGCTATTAGTACTTTGGATAGCAAAGTTCCATCCATTCAACTCGAAGGTTCCGTGTTTGGGCGAGGATCTTCACAGAAAGTGTTGACTTTGGAGGTAGTGCAAAGCTTTTCCATTTTTGCACTTGCGCTATCGTACCGTCAAAAGGTAGATCCGGCGCGGGCAACTCCCTTCACCACCCAACATCATTTTGATTACCATACCACCAATTCAAAACCATCAACCTCTAACAGTACCGCACCTTCATTTGAGATTTAAAAACAAATCACGTCTAATATCCGACTTTTCTGGAGTAGTCAAATCGTGCTCGGAAGAACCTTGGCGGCCCTCTTGAAATCTGAGGAAGGAAGGAACTTGACAGTAACTTCTGCTTTTGTCACTCGACTCAAAAATCTCCCAAAAGCATGTCGCCGTATTGACATTACTACTCCTCTTCAATCACTTCAATCTTTGCAACTCTGTTTCGACCTCACTCTACGCAAATCCTCAAATCCAAAATCTCGGAAAGATTCATAGTCAGGTGCATGATCATTGGCCCTCTCAAATCAAGCTATCAGCTCATGCAAAATCAGTGGAAATATCACCCATTCCTATATTGTAGACGAAACTGTTCACAGACCATATATCGACATTCACCACCTTCAAACATTCCCCCCCAAAAGTAGAAAGAATACTCGATTCAGTTTCTCAAATCCTCATATTTGGATTCGGCCCGAAGGTATCTTCGCATACTCATATACATCGTCACATCTTCATCCTCGTCGGCCATTATCAGGTTCGCGTTTGGTAGATTCCTAGACAGTGACTTTGAAGATATATTTACATTGTCAATCAATACACGTTCTTCCCTCTTCCCTCGAGTCTTCTAGCGCTTCTAGAAACTCGGAAGGGACAATTGAGGCGCTGTTGCACGTCTTGGATTATCCATGAACCTGGTTCCCCCTCCATCTCTCCTCATAACGTCAGAATAACCTCCAAAGCAGCCCCTCCATAGAAATTACACGAAACCAACCAGCTAGCCACCAGTCCAAATCACGGCCAAATTCCAAATCCCACGGAAACTTTCAACGTTTGTCACAGGTCGGGACATATTTTCAATCTGATACCCTAGTGATATTGTGCCTTACAAGCTAGATCTCACAGGGGACTTGCTTGTATCAGAAGTCAAGGATAGTCCTAGGAGCAGTGACGAGGTCTTTACCTTAGAAAGAAACTCAATCGACACCTTATTTCCGCAATATTTCTATTCTCTCGAGTAGTCGAAACCATCATTGATCATTCTAGCACGTACTCGGTCTTTCAGGGTGAACTTCATCTTATTATCGACCAAGTGCTAGAGTCAGTCACGTCAACTTTCTCATCTCTTCCTATATCTCCCTCCAGCACCCTCCTTTACTCCCAACAAAAAGTTTCCGACAACAATTCAAGGCTTGCTCGGGTTGGAAGCAAAAATAAATCTCAAATTTTCTTTCTCAGACTGCCATATTCCAAAGCGCCAGGTAACTAAACTCTCTCGATCTGTTGACTTGATGCACAGTGTTGACTGGGGTGTAGAGGCATCATATTTTAGTATCGAGGAATAAGAATATATAAAACGCGTCGAAATCGCGGCGAGAGGAACCCATTCAACCAACCATCAGGACCGAATCATCAAGCTGGCCAACTTGCGCTCAACGCCATATTATTTGTGGGTGGCGCATCGATCGGATTAGCTGGCGGGAAGTAGTTTATATAGTACCGAATAGGAGACGACAATGGACGACAATAACCGTCGACGAAGGCAAAATGAGCCGCCGTATCCCCCTCAGGATCCCAGATATACACCAGATCAGAGTCAAGGCCGTGGAATTCCAAATTCCATACCGGGTAGGTATCGTCCCGGAGGGACAGGGTCGCCATCAATGAGCCGTGGAGTTGGACAAGCCCCAGCATATTCGTATGGTGGCTACGAGCCAACCTCGAATTTTTCGACAGGAATTCCTCCAAATCCCATGCAATACCCCTCCAATTATCCTTCGGATCAAAGACAACAGCAAGGCTTCTCAGATTACAATACTGGGTTGATGTACCCCAATAACGTCACACAACAAACTCCACAAAATAACATTTATGACGGTTCGCAATTTCAGGGACGGCAACCTGCATCAATGCAAATGATACCCGATGTGGCCGCCCCTTTCATCCAAAATGACCCAACCAGTACTCCGGCGACTCAAAATTATGCTTCCTCGAACTCGTCTACCCCATATCAACAACACCAGCAAAGCCCAGGAGACCGCACCACGTTGATCCAACAATCATATTCTGGATCCGTAGGACTAGGCGCAATGGCTCAAGCACCTGGAACGGCCGATGGTATGGACGCCGGAAACCTGCAGCCCCAAAATCCACATGTGATGGAGGAAGCTTATTTGACGTACCAGACTGCTCTCAAGCAGATTTTCAAAAATATTATTGATCTTCGTCTTGCAGAAGCGGGCTCTTCTTTACTTGAAGTTTCTGAGTGGCTACTAGGACACGTAACAGAATTGGGTGAGTTAATATTTCCTCTGTTCAATTTTATCCACTAATAGTTTCTGATGAAGGCCTCACTGTAGACGAAACTGCGCTTCATGCCGATCGCATTCAACTATGGAACGAATTTAACGCGGCATGGTTAAGCATTTTCACCAGACAACACGACTTTCTTGAATCCGGTCAGCGAAAACAGGAACAGCAAACGCTCATGTCTTTGGATTTTATTAACAAAATGGGAACCAACTTAACGCGACTGTGCGATTCGGTCGAGAAATATGGTTTGGTGGATTATCAATATGGAGTCGGAGAGTCGCAAATTATTGATAGTAAGTTTAAAACAACGTCAGAGATCGTAACAATCGTTGAGCTATCTAACAATACCTTAGTTCTTTTGAGCTGCCAAAAACTCCAAGAAGAACTCGAAGCATCCGGAGCCTCTAGCGGAGGCGCATCCTCATCGATCGCAAACTCAAACGTCGGTCGTGCGCCACCATGATAACATTATATCTTGTTTTACCACATTTCACTTCTGTTCACTTCTACTTGGAAAAGTTTTGTTTTCATATACCATTGTAGAGCATAAACTTGCATCTTTTCTTCCTTGGCGTTTTTTCTTTTACAAATTCTTCGCCCTGTTTCATCGACATCAAGATTTGACTTTCTTCTTTTCCTACTAATCAGGATCACTTTTATGTGGTCCGTATACATGGGTGGGAACCTTGATTTTGTCTTCTTGATTTGACAATTTGGTGTTGGTGGTTCTCTGCATGCATGAGGTGAAGGGATTGGTCACTGGCGGACTATTTGCGAGTGGGCGGCATTCTGATTTTTCGATGAAGCTACGTTTCAATGTTTCTACGCGCAATGCTTTTATTACGATGTTTGTATGATGAAAAGGAAAGGAAGGTGGGAATTCAGGTTCTGGTTCGCAAATTTTGGTTGGGAATACTTGGGAGGCTTATATGAATGATATGGATGTGTTTTAGCGTGTCTGTTTTATTTCATATCGTATTATTGTACGATGTGGTTTACTAGAGCTGCCGTTCAATGGGAGGGCTTCTAGGCTCGAATAGTTGGTTGGGAGTATGATTGATTGTATTTAAGGGGGGCTACTAGGCTCACAATTAAGGGACAGCATGGGATTGGGATCCCAGATGGACTTCTAGGTCCGGAACTGAAGGAACGAGTTATAGGTTGGGTGTATGAAAATTCTTAGGGCGATCGTATGAATGGATTATATATCTATTAGGGTATTGAGGAAAGTAAGCCATATCTTTTAAGGTATGAAGGCAAAGAGTTGCAATGAATCAGCATGCGTGTGGATACGCCGGAAGAGACGAGTGCCTGCCGGGGGGAAAGGGAGTGGGTTCTTTGAAGCGAGAAGGAGGTGGGGGGAGAGCAGGGCGCCAATTAATTGTGGAAAGATAGTGTATATTTGTATTGTAAATGAATAATATCTTCCACAAAAAACCATTCTGTAAACGGGTGCAATCTTTTTAATATTATCTCGCGATGATGATTTTGCCTTGCAGGTTTTAAATATCTCATAGCTTGGCAAGCATCAGGTCGGATATGAGAATATGTGAAGTTACATCGAGATGTGTGTGGAAGATGGAGAGAAAGCCGGATCTAGATTAGTATCCAGATCTGGCAGAGAAATCTCAAAATGTGACATGACATGGATACATGGATTGATGTGTAGCGGTGGCTGAGCTGCGTTAGACATGCATAATGCGGGATACATGCGGGAGGGTGTGGATGGAGGTGTAGTGTAGGGTTCGGATAGACGGAGACGCGGGTATGCGGTCTGAGGTATGGGTGATGGATGGTGAGGCTGTGGTGGACAGGGTTGATTTGTGTGGTGTGATGTATGTATGTATGTATGTGATAGATTTGTTTGAAGATTATGGGTTTTTAGGACTTTGAGTGGGAAATCTGAGGATATGGATGTAGGTGAGGGTTTGGCGGTTAGGGTTTGGAGGGATTTTACGAGTTTAGAGGTTGAGGATGATATAGTGGCATGATTTTAAGCAGTAAGCAGTGGGTCGGGGTTAATTGAGTTGAGTCGAGTTGAGTTGAGCTGGATGGATGGATGGAATTGGATTGGGTTGAGTTGGGCTGCAGTGAGGTGAGATTGAACGGACGATGTCGAGATGATGGATTATTATTGTCTTTGAGATCAATATCGATAATTGAGCATGCTATCGAAATTACGTTACACTTGATTTTGGGGTTAAGATGGGAAAGAAAGCGGACGTGGACTGGGTAGATAATCTTGGGTTGTATTGTGGCTGATGATGGGTGTGGATGGTGGGAGTGAGATGAAGTGAGGTGAGGTGAGGCTGGATGAGGCTGGATGGAGATCGACGGCATGGATGGTGATGGTGATGGTAATGGGCTGGATTGCGAATGGGCGAAGGGAGTGGAGGAAGGAAGCGAGAAAGGGGTAGGGCTAGGATTGCTTATTGGAGTGGCGATGTGATGTTGTTTTATACGCATGTAGTGTGATGCATTGTCAGCTTTGTTTTGTTTATTAGTGTCTAATGCACATGCGATGATCGATTGCTAGCAATAGCTGGCTGCAGTAGGGATTGGATGGATGAGATGGCATTATCAGTTTTTTGAGAGGGGAGCAGAGATTGTGTAGATGGATGAGGTATGAGATTAAAGAGGTGCAGATTGAAGTCATTAGTGTGTAGTCAAGTCAGCGTGGGGTTAACTGGGGTATATGTAGGGTGATAAATATAGATTTGCTTCGAATAGGAAGGTGGGTTTTGATTGGCAGGAAAGATTCTTGAGCTGTTGGGTGCATGCATGGGTTTCGAAAAAATGAAAATGTATGTAACGTATGTTTTGAAATTGTTTATTGGTATGAATAGATATGAAGGGATGTTCGCTTTCGTATAATGGTCCTGGTACTATGGCTGCACTTGCTATTTTGAGGACTGAAGAATATATGAAAAGTTGATGTTGTATCGGAGTGGTTTATGATTTTGTATGTTTACCCATCGAGCTGACTTGCTCAAAATAAGGCCCACTGAAATAGCTGATAGTGTTGATGTTGGAAGTACGTATCTTCGAATATAATTGGGTATTTATTCAATTCTCATGTTTTTTACATGATGAGTCTCAAGCCCATAGACAAGCCATCGGAAACCCAAACACCATATGTATTGGTACAATGAAATACATATACAACTATCTCTTGACCCAGGCAGGCATCTTTCTGGCCTTGACATGACCTGGCTTCTTTCTCTCCACTTTTCTTGGATCACGAGTTACACATCCGGCTGGAGATATGTTAGTGTCCTATCCTTGGGTACTGTCTCCTCTCGATAAATAGGGAGAGGGTAAAGTAATAAACTTCGAAAAACTTACCTCTTCGTAACGCAGGCTTCAAAGCTGGTTCGTGTGAAAGTAAAGCCTTCCCCACTGCCAACGTCAAAGCTTCTGCTTGCCCTGTAGTTCCACCTCCACTGACCAGGGCCCAAAGATTGTACTTATCAATCCGATCCGTAGCCTTCAAAGCCCAGATAGCACTTTCTCTGTCATGATGTCTACCAAAAGCCTCCGCGAGTGTTTTCCCATTAATAAGCACCTCCCCCGTACCCTCTACCAAGTAAGCTCTCGCCGTAGACGATTTCCTCCTTCCGACTCCTAATGCCCGTCCATATTGATCAATGGGTATAGGTTTTGCGACATTCTCGTGCGGGTTTACATCTCGTTTGTACCTGTCCATAGCCTCCTTCACATCTGGGGGCATCACTGATGGATGAATGTGATTTAGTCGATGTAGTGTCTCCACAATCTTATGATATTTTGATGACCGTACTCCCTCTCCAGTCTGATCTCTGTATTCCATAAGAGACCTCCATGCCACACGCGGCGCCTCTCCTGGTTGCACAACAGGAAGTTTCGAGTATTTTAGTAGGAGGTTTTGCAATTGGAGAAGATTGTCGGTATATGAAGGCTGGGCCGTGAAATATGATGGCGAGTATGGAACTAGACGCGCGAAGAATTTCGGTGACTCTTGCGATCCGTTTTCCCCTCTTCCTCCTTCATCCGGAAAGTTTATTTCTGGGGCCGCAATGCTGTCTCGAAGTTGTGAAGTGGTTGTGAAGGATTTCGGGGGCGAGGAAAGAGGAATTCGATTTCGGAGTAGTGATCTGGGGATGGTTGATTGGGTGGAAGAGGCACATCTAAGACCTTCCCTTAGGCTTGCAGGAAGCCATGATGTCTTCATATTGAAGAGGGAACTAAGTCGTGGACTTTTAGGAGCCTTTACTCTTTAAACCGACCTTCGTAAACTTTAGATTTCGATACTCGATTTTGCCGCATCAGCTGATTTCGGCTCTAGGCCCGATTTAAACTAGCTCTATTGTACCCCTCCGCCCACCTCAAATTTTCGAGAAGATGCATCTCACGAAAAGTTTCTTTCTTCCATCCAAATCAATAAACTTTGAATCAACGCAAAGATGGCTTTCGGAACTCTCTACACCTACCCAGTATGTATATGGATTTATTCGGTCTCCGCTACATTATCTGCGAACAAATAGTTTTATGTAACTTCTGCTAATTCCATACTTTTTATAGGGCAACCCCCGCTCACCTGCCATTCTTGCAGTTGCAAAGGCCAACAACATCGAGCTCGACATTGTCGAGACCGAGCCAGCTAAGGGAGTCTCTGAGGAATACCTCAAGATCAACAAGCTCGGCAAAGTCCCAACTTTCGTTGGTGCTGATGGCTTCACCCTCCACGAGGCCATTGCCATCGCTATCTATAGTATGTTTACATCCCACTTCACCCCACTTTGTTTCGCACAAATTTGCACCAACTCTACCTTCCACATACTCTCCTGTGTAATGATGAAAAAAATGTCATACAGTTATCCCTGTCTTAATCATTCTATGTTGATCTTTATTAATTAGACTCTGAACACTATCTTTAAAAAATTATCTTGCATTTGCTTTGTTTCATGAGTCACCAGCTTACAAGATTTACAGTCACCTCCCAAAACGAGAAGACCACCCTCCTCGGTAAGACCAAGCAAGACTATGCTTCTATCTTGAAGTGGATGTCTTTCTTCAACTCTGAGGTCCTCACATCCCTCGGTGGTTGGTTCCGTCCTCTCATCGGCCGTGACCCATACAACAAGAAGAACGTCGATGATGCCATCAAGGCCACTGCCAAGTGCATCTCCGTCATTGAGGAGCACCTCTTGAACAACACTTACCTCGCTGGTGAGCGTATCACTCTTGCCGATTTGTTCGCCGCTGGTATCATCTCCCGTGGTTTCCAATTCTTCTTCGACAAGAAGTGGAGAGCTGAGAACCCAAACACTGCCCGTTGGTACGCTACCGTCTACAACCAGCCAATCTACTCTGCTGTTGTTGACCCTCTCGCTTTGATCGACGAGCCAACCCTCAAGAACCAAGCACCAAAGAAGGCCGAGGCACCAAAGGCCGAGAAGCCAAAGAAGGAGGCTGCTAAGCCAA